ATACTTAAATATTAATAAATAAATGTATAAAAAAACCAATAGAAAGACTGAAATTAAAAAAATTGCATGACAACAAGATTTGCACAGTAACTCAGTGCAAAAGATCATTAGGATGGCTTTAGCATCTGCACCTCCTCTGAAACTGCCTTCTTTGCCTGTTGTGAGAGCTTGAAACATCCCCCAGTTTTTGTAAGACGCTGAACAGCTCACTCACAGCTTTGCGTTGGATTTTCAAGTCAGTCATCTGTTTTAAGTAAAGAAAATGGAATAAAAGTCATGCCAAGAGCTGTTTACTGATCACATCCCACAGGCTACCCTGCTAACAGGGTAAACCAGAAGGACATCTGCAGTTTCCAAACACTCTACTACCTAATTCCTGCAACAAATAGCCACTTTCATGGCTCCCTGTTTTTCATAGTCTGTGCTATTTTGCAACATGCCACTAATGAACCAACTTGTTGCTACAAGCAGCTAACTCTACTGAGGTATTGTCTACAGATCTCTGCAGAACTCAGTGGTTTGTGCCATCACACTCACTTGATAAGCCAAGTGCCTGCAAAGCCATAGAGCATGTCATAGCTGGGCACAGCTTTCCTGCCCAATTTCTAAACCACAAACTGCTGTGTCAGTGGCAGCTCTGGTGGGCAGACCATGTGGCAGTGCTGCCAGCAGCTCTGTGCCAGACTGCAGCAGACTCAAGAGTCTCTCCCACGCTGTAGACACACAGCAGCCCCTGCCACTGTAAGCATTAGGTTTTCCAGTGTGAATCAAGCTAGAGAGGGGTTAGCAGATGGGTTACTGAAGCACTACTGGCTTGAATCACACTCAGATCACAACTGGAAAATATAATGTCATGAGACTTGGAGGCAAAGGAAGAACGTTACCTGAAGCTTTGTCAGGTCCTTGAGATCTTCTGCCTTCTTTGAGCCATCAGAAAGGCTTTCTTTCAGTGTATAGAGCTCCTCAGAGATGTTCCTGACATGGGCCTTTGTCTTGTCAGTGTTTTCAAACATTTTCAAGTACATGGAAAGAATCTGGCTCAGGATGATCCTTTTTTCATTTCTCTGTCGAAAAATGTAAGGAGAAAGAAAGGTTTGTGAGTGCCCATCAGCAGGGAAATGAATGAAACTAAAACAAAGCTTGCAGGGGTTCTCACTGCCACTTGAAACAGGATGTTAAAGAAAATGCTGCAACTCATCTCCTGGGCTTGACTCTACCTCAGGAGCAGTTCATGGTGCAGTGTAAAGCACCTTGATCCTTATAGGAAACATTTTTACGGGGATTTTTTTTTTCATTTCCAAGCTACCAAAGGGAACTCTGTTCATGTTTGTTCTCTCCTGACTAATTACACTGGTTCTGGGAGTTACTTTGTCCCAAAGTGCCCAGCAGAATGCCTGAGATGCTTTGTAATATCTGATTCTGACTCACCTCTGTCCAGCTTGACAGTCTCCCCGTAAAGATAGGTCCACCATCAGCTACATCTGAATGACTTGAGTTCTGCAACAAAGAACAAACTTATCTATTATACCAACAGTACTTATCACAAGGCAAAATTGTGTTTTCTATTCAAATGAGCAGCAAAATCCAGATTTTTGCACAACTGGCTTATAACTATCACCATGCTTTCATTTCTCTAAGCACCAAATCCTGTTGCATGGCTGTTAGTATCAGAAATGGCATTAGTCTGCTTTTCAATATTTTATCCTGCTCTAACTCATCTGAATAGAGATGTCTAGCACATCCCTTTTCCCAAATGCTCCTTGCAAGTTTTGCTATTGACAGATGAAAATAGAAGCTCATAAACACAACAACTGGCTAGAAAATTGTGAAGTTTAATCTTGGCATGTTTTCTGGTAAGTCAAAGTCCAGCAGTATGTAGTCTGTCCCTTAAATTCATCCAGTCTCAGAAAAATCTCATATAGAGCGAGAACAAACTAATACTACTATGAAACTGTAGTTTGTAGAACTGGAGAATAGCTCAGTAGCACAGTCATGAATGGGGATATGCAAGATTAGTGGGCTACTGAGAGGCTCACAGGAATGTATTTTAGCATCAAATGTTAGCCACACACTGTGTCAGATTCTCGGAAACAAAGAGTGATACAATTCTACCAAGGAAAGACAAACCGAATCATTTCCTCTTCTGTGTGTCTTTTTTTTTTTCTCTTTTTTTTTTTTCCTTTGTATACAACAGTCTCTATTTCCTTCTTTTATCTGCTCAGTAATTTAAGTAGAGAGAGTACAAAGGGAAAACTTTCAGGCTGAGAAAAACTTCCTAGGCTGATTGGCTCCCTATGCTGAGCATATTGCCAAACTTTGTTTTGTTCTTCTGAAAGCTGGGAAGAACTTGCTGTGGACTGGAGTTTTAATGTCAGTGCAAAAAGCTCACCATGGCCTGGCATCTCTTCAACAGAGCTACATATATATATTCTAGTGAGACTGTTTCTGATCTCTGCTAATGACAAATTTAAGGCATAATGCCAATTTTGCAGCCAGTTTCCTATCAATTTGCAAACACTGAAGTATCACACAAGGCTTTACCACTTCAGGGTGGCTCTTTCACTACCGAATTTCAACTTTCATATGTACAAAATTATGACAAAATCAGAGCTGAAAGTTCGAGCACACTGTTGCAGTTGCTTTCACGTGTTTAAGGGGAAAAACCCCAACAAAAAAATATTTTGAAAATAAAGGCTGTTAATTAGAAGTGACTCTATTGTAGATCTACTATCTCTATGACTAATTCCAGCTGAATACAACTGTGAACTAATTTAATGCCTCTTGGAAGAAGATAGGTGAATTAACATCACAGTTATCAAGTTACCAAAATTCTATCTGAAAAAAAGGAATATCATGCCAGATTACATTTCCATGCCAGATCACATTTCCATGCCAAATCATAGTCACAGATATGGAAGCAGAATGACTGGAGGATGCAAAAGAATAAGCAGTAGGCAACACACTATTGCAACTAATAATAAGTAGCAGATGCATTGTTAAAGCAAATGTTCATCTCCATTTTGTTCATATTGTTATATATAACAATATAAACAATATCAATATATATGGTTTATATATATGTATAATTAATATTAAATCCCCATTAACATTACTAACATTAGTATAGGAAGTCAGCAGGTTCCATTTAATCAGAATTGAATATTCATTAATTCACCATAAACTGCAATAAGATTTCTTGTTATAAAACATTGCATCTAATCAAAGGTTGAATTGAGCTAACACAATCTCTCATAAAAGAAAAAGCATCCCTGAAATAAATGCAAACTGCTGCAATAACTATGACTACTGAAAATCTGAATCAGGTTAATGAAAGAGCTTAGCAAAACCAAAGAAATTGTCTATATTCTTGTTCAAAAATAGGTATAGCCAAGATATTTTTTCCATGATTACCCTCTATTGGTACATATTGAGTATGTCAAGTAAAGCTCAAGTTTGGACTATACCTAAAGCACAAGCAGAAGAAGAAGAGAAATGCAGGAGAAGACTATACTTACAAAGTCAGCTTTCAGTTTGTCTATATCATTTTGAAGTTGATGCAGATTTAGTCTATTTTCAACATGTCCAAAACAACACAGGATGACAGACAGAACAAACAAGCTGTAGGTCTGGAAAGTCATTTTCTTGGTGATGGTTTAGTTAAACTGCTCAGATGAGTTCTGGGACTTGCCAGTTATAAGAGCAGTGAACTTCAGCTTCTAATAGTTAAATCTTCTATTAGAAGAAAGTAGACGACTGAATTTCATCTGCCTGTCAGTGGTATTTATACCTGGTCTTGAAATTTTTTTATTTCGTCAGCACAGGCTGTGTATATTTAGACAAGATAGTGTTAGATAAGAACCCTTCATTTTTTTGGCTAATCAAGGGAATCCCTCGAAAGCATCTTTGTTAAAGCATGGTCCTGGAAAAATTTTCAGTGGTTCGTCAATGGGTAACATTTACGTGGCAGGTTCTGAAGTTTCTTTTACACGTGGTGTGGGAAAAGGGGGAAATTATGATACAGATCAAGGAGTGTGCATTGTGGCTCAAGCATATTCTTACACACTATCTGAAAAAAAAAAATCGCACCTTGTGGTTAAAGGGTCAGTATAACAGTCAACTCATTTCTGGTGTTCTTTTAAAGTAACTGCTGAGATTCCACAGCATTCTTCAGAGTCACTTAGAGATTTAAACATTCTTCCTACTGCTGTCCTCTTGAGAAACACCATTGCATTCTTTCCATGCTTGAAGTGCATTTCTTCTGCTTTCTCCTTCTTCACCTCCAGATTCTAAATGGAGAAATTAAGTTCCAGCATGAATGCAATGATTCATCATATTAAATTCTGCAGTGGTTGTCTACTATCTGTGAAAGCAGAGTATCTAGTATATAAGATACTCATTTCTGCTTGGTGATAATTAAAGTTCCCACATACCTATTCATTTGCATTAATGTGTGTAAAATATGAAAACACAAATACATGGATGAAAATAAGCCCAGTAGAAGAAGACAGGATGGTCTCCAAGTGTATACAGAACCCTGAGACAACTGTATTGAGGGCAGCTGGGCAGCTGCTTTGATGGATGTCATGGGATGAGAGCTTACTGTGAAGAGTCTTATGAAGAAATATCATTTTTAACTGCAGTATATGAATGCAGGGTAGGCAGGAGCCTACAAGGGAGAGAAAGAAAGAGCCCATAGAGAAAAAGAAAAGAGAGGATCAGGAAGAGGGCACTTGTGGTTCAGTTCGCACAAGCTGCAAGACGTTTCTAGCTCAACAGAAACAGATGAGAATTAAAGTGGCCTCCAACAGGTACGACTTGAACTTGCCAGCATAGCCCCACATGGTGATTTGGGTATTCTTCTCAAGAAGCTGTCCCTTCCCCAGCAGCTCCTCCTATCTCAGCAAGTGGCCACTAATGCCATCAAACATTTTTCATCTGCATTTTGAAAGAAGACCTTTGTCTGTGGAATAGACCTAGGTTACTACTACTGTTGCGAACAGGGAATAGCCATTTTTAGGGACAAGAACCAGATTTCACCAACAATTAATTGCAGGCCCAAAAGCTGCACGCAAAAACTCCCTGGGAATAGCAGCATAGACAGATGAGACACACATCACAACAGGTGTGATACTGCACAGCAATTAGGGCTGTAATCTGCTTGGATTAGTAACCTTCTGACATGCCCATCCTGGTTTTAGTTTAAGAAGTTAAAACTGGTTAAGCAATAACTTAATTTCTGGAATCACTGAGATGAAAGTAAGGTGATAATGCTATTCAAGGATGCTTCAAAGGACTGTAAATAAATATTATTATACCTGCCCATGGCAGACAGTTTGGACTAGATGATCTTCAAAGTGTGGAAAACACCCTTAAGGTCACCAAGTGCAATCACTAAGCTAGCACTACTAAGTCTACCACTAAACAGGTTCCCAAGTGCCACATCTTTTAAATGCCTTCAGGGATGGTGACAAAATGGAGGTCCCACCCCCAATTCAAAGTGAACTGACAAATGTCAGCACACTGAACAAACCTATTGGTCATGCTGAAACATCTGGATTGCCACACAAGGCAAACCAGTCAAATGGCATGTTGTGGCACAGCTAAATATAGTTTTATATATAGGGGAGAATCAAGCATATTTTACAAGATGGGGACACATGCTGAGGTTCACAGAATGGCCATTAGTCTATGGAGCAATTCTTTGGCAAAGTGTTGGAAGGAGCATGTCAAGAGGTAGAGGGAAAATGATTCCTGTTACATAGGGCACCCTTTATGCTGTCAGAAACATCCAACTAGAAGAGAGACTGGGTGTCAAGGTCCTAATTTGAGCAGTGCTTTTCTGTTGAATTACTAGCAAGAGTGTAAACAAGAGCTGCAAGTAGGGAGGTTGGGAAGAGATTCCTTATTCAAACAGGTTGGTCTTAACGTGTTGAGGACAAATCACAACACAACTGAACACAATGAATTGCTGTAATTACACAGGCAGGCAGAAGATGTAATTCCAGAAGCTGAAATATTAAGTCAGTAATACTGCTCTCTGCAGAGAACTATTCACCCAGAGAGACTGTGCTGGGTTAGACTGCCCTGTTAAACCAGCCAGACATGAATCTTACCCAGGCTATAACTCTCAGGTGACCTCCCTTTCATCTCACATTACTAGTAAACTTCTAAGAATACAAGAGGATGAAATATCAGAAAGGATTTTTCCAACTCACCTTTTGTAGATACTGATTAAAGTTTTGGGGGGTTATATGGTTAGCTTTATTACTAAATCTCTTCACATTTCAGAGGAGGCCACTGCCAAGCATGCAATTTTGCAGGTAAGAAAATGGAAGTACAGAAGAATGGGATGATTCTTGATCATTCAGCATCTAGGAAAGGCAAATCTAGGAACACAAGCAGGGTAAGCCAGCCCCATTGTGGTCCTTTGCCCACTGTGCAGTGCTACAAGTATTGTATCATAAACTGAGGCAGAAAAATTAGGCAAGGAGCAAAGAAGAAAGCCATGACATCTGGCTCTGTTGAGTGCAGGTCTGACTTCTAGGTATACCCTTCTCCTTGTGGAGGTTAGATTCTGGTCTTTTACCTATCTCAGCATTCAAATTATCACACAAAGTGTTTAATGTTCTGTGGCAAATCATCAGCTGGACAGAAATGGATTTTAATACAGAAATATAGGATCCCTTTTCCAAATCCTTTACATTTGAATAAATGGTGCTAGGTTAATGCTGACAGGTTTGTTTCATAATGTTCTGGTCTGTTGACACAGAACACCACCTCTCTCCAAACTATTTTCAAACTAGGCAACAGCCTACAGCAGATGGTCAGAATGTGAGGGTCCTTCAGTCCCTGGGGTCCTGTGTCTGTTCTAGCCCTGTTTTGCTTCCCATTGCACCCAAAGTGATGAACCAGATTATCATTGTCTGGTGTATGTCTTGTTGCCCAAGAAACGTGCACAGTTGTGAGGAAGGCCCAGGCTGAGATGGCTCCTCTGCACTGCCTTTCCTGAGAATCAAAATGATTACAAAAAAATACAAGAAAATACCTGCTGTTTACAAGTCAGAGCCAAGGACCTTAGAGCATCCAATTTTTTATCTGTGTTCCTTAACATATATCTATTGAGTGCCTGATAGAGATGACTGAACACTCAGCACTAACACGAGCTCTTTGCCTGAGCACTAGGCCTAATCTAGCTGAAAGAGATGACAGAACAGTATTGAAAAGTCTTGTGCTGCATAGAATTGAACTGGTCCTTCTGTGTGGCTCCATAATCACAGCTGGACTGTCATCTGTTCCAAACACAGTAGGAAAATGAAAGCAAGGCATTTTTACATTTTTCTGCCTGGAAGTCATCTGACTCTTCATGCAAAGCAGAGGTTTCACACCCTTCTCTTCATACAACACCCTATACCGAATACCCGATGATGCCCTTGCGAAGTCATGTCAAATTTCACTATGACCAATGATTACAGCTTTTTCCCTTTCATTTTTGTTATATGCATACTCCTCAGCGCTGGCTGAGTGGTTAGTAAGGAATTGCCCTTGCCAGTTCAGCAGATCTCTTCCAGACTTTAGTTTCTCTAAAACTCAGTGGCTTCCTCTATTACCATTGTACAAGGAAAGCAGCTCAGGCTGGAAAACCCTCTCTGAGTTGTCATTCTGACCTTACATCACACTTCAACTCTTAGTCTCCCTTTCTTATAAAGCAGCAGAAATAACTCCTTTGGTTCCTCTTTTTTGGCCATTCCTAACCATATGACTATCAGTTCTGTATTGTCTAGAGACTCCAGTAATAGCATAATATGAATTTTCAGGACTTGAATTAAAATAATTTTCTGTAGTATATGGAGATGATAGCAAATATTTTTCTCAGAACATCTGTCCTCATTAATAGCTGTTAATGTCCCTGTTTATAAAATCAGCATAATGCTCTCTTCCTTTCCTTTCCTTGAAAGACTGTTGAACAGACATATATGAGGAACTGAGTCTGAAAATAGTAACCTATAACATATGTTTTATCATCACTGATTATGCATAGACCGTAATACATAATAGAGACCAAACTTTCCTTCTTGTTTCTTGTGCCATATTTTAGGTTGGTACAAACTGATTTTCCAGCTCTCCAAAAAAAAGACAGTCTGCATGTATGAACGATTTAGAAACTATAATTTAGAAACTTCCACTGCCCAGTGGAAGCTAACCATGAGAAAGGCAGGGACAATTCTAAGATGCTATTTTTCCTGTAGTAAGTATGGAAAACAGTGATGGCATTGTAGAAGACAGTGATGGACAAACCTGGCATGTGTTTTTACTCTATACTTCTACCATTTGGAATCTTTCCATCTATCCACCTCCTGATTAAAACCTTATGCACATAAACCAGAATAAAGTTCCAAATCTTATTCAATTTTAGTGTAAGTCTGTATCTATGGAAAAGCAACACTGGTGGCACAGCAGCAACCCCAAGTATGGCTGGTGTTGTATATATCATACCTTCTGTGCTGTAACCACAGTGTGTCTACAAGTTTTTCTACATAAAATCTTTCATTCTCACCAGCTCTTCTTCATTATTCCAAGAGGAATAAAACACTTGAAGGTTTTCTGTTTCCAGCACTGTAGTATCCTTTGAGGTACCGAT